GTTGGATACCACTGAGCAACTAACCATTTCCTTACCCTAGGGCTTCCCTGGTGGCGCAGATGGTAAGGAATCTGCCTGCAATGTGGGAGACTCAGGTTTAATCCCTAGGTGGGGAAGATGCCCTGGAGGAGGAAATGGCAACCCACTCCAGTATTCTTGCCTGGAGAATCCCATGGACCGGGGGGCCTGGCAGGCTACAGTCCATAGGGTTGCAAAGAGTCAGACACAACTGAATGACTAACCCTTACTTTACCTTGCCTAGCAAGACTAGTAGTGAATTGGGAGAGTGGGAGCAGTAAAAGGAGAAAAGATTGGAGGCTTGTAAAGGACCCTGCTGGCCATTTCACCCCCCGGAGAAGTGGGGACCCACTAGGGGCTTATTCAGAAGAGTGATATAATGACATTGCCTTGCAGGAGAATCACTTTGCCTGAGGAGGATTAGAGAGGGGTAAGATTGGAGAGAAGGGAACTGGTCATAGGGTTGTTTCAACAAATAAAAAATTCTCAAGCATTTTGGTCTTAGGACCCCTTTGCCCTCAAACATGATTGAGGTCTCCTCATAAAGCTTTTGTTTTAATGGGTTTTATCTAGCAATATTTGCCATATTAGAATTTCTAAATATTTATTTAATTCATTAAATATAACAATGATTAATCTATTACATATTGACATAGCACATTTTAATGAAACAAGACTATATTTTCAAAAACCAAAAAAACCTCGAGAAAAAAATGGTATCGTTTTACTTTTTTTTTCAAATCTCCTTACTGTTTGGTCTAATGGAAAACAGATGGAGACTCATCTGCTCTCACAGTCAGTGTGTCGCAAGTGTTTTTTGGTTGAAATAAACAAAGAAAATCCAACTTACAGAGATATGCAGTTGAAAAGGAGAGGGGTATTTTTACAGTCTTTTCAAATAATTGTGCATATATATTCCTTGATATTATACCAAAGTCAACACATGGTTGTTACTTATTAACTTTGGTGTCATATCAAAGAATAATATACATAAAAAAGAGGAAAAACCAGGAAGATGCCATGTTATAGAAGGCAAGGAATGTAAGGAAGTGCTTCAAGAAGAAAGTAGCCAGTGGGGGTGCAGAATGCAGGTAGTTAAAGACAAGAATTAATGTGCCTGTTGAGCTTGGAGCATGGATTTGCTGCGGGTGATGTTCATAGAACATGGTGGTGGGAAATACAGAAGTCAGGATTCTTCTTCCTTCCCTCCCTTCCACCTTCCATACCTTCCAGTGTCTTTATTGACCACTTGCTGTGTGTCAGGCATGTATATGGAATACTGTCCTCACTTTCACGATGATTATAGTTAGTATTGTGGGGATGGCAGAAAACAATCACGTAAATCAGTATATGTGTTTACGATCCCATGACCATCCTCAAATAAACTGTAAGGAACAGAAGACAAATTCACATTTTCTTTTTTTTTTTTTTAAATTTTTATTAGTTGGAGGCTAATTACTTTACATCATTACAGTAGTTTTTGTTATACATTGATATGAATTAGCCCTGGATTTACATGTATTTTTCTTATGTTCAATGATAAGAGCTAAAGTCCCCTAAGAGCCCAGAAAATTGTCATAACTCATTTGGTATCAAAAAAGAATGGCAACATGCACTACTATCCTCTTTTTTTCCCCACTTGATTTACTTTTTAAATTGAAGGATAATTGCTTTACAAAATTTTGTTATTTTCTGTAAAACTACTGTCCTCTTAAAATCTGAACACTTCTGAACTCCTGACAAGTCTACAAAGATTTTAGGTAAAGAGATCATAGACCTGTATTGGCTCATTTTTACAGAGAAGGACACAAGACAGAAACATTAGGTAACTTCTGCACAATCACATAGCCACACCAGGCTACCACACCAAACTAATTGCCTATAGGGATATCCAATATCAGAATAACTATTACATTTGTCCATCCATGCATGTATCCATCTATACATCCATTTATCCATCCATACATCCATTTATCCATCCATCTATTGATCTACCTATGCATCCATCATGCATGCATCCCATCCATTCAGTCATCCATCTAGTCATGAATCTCTTCATCTATTCATCCATCCATCCATCTATCTCAAAACATTTACTTGAGACTCCACTATATCCCAGGCTGAAAGACCATTGTCTAGTTTAAAGTTACCAGAGAAGAGATGATAATTTTTTCTAACAAACAGGGGCTGCTGAAATTACTATTTCTGTAGATGTTATATAGAGGGTCTGAGAACTCAAGGGGTAATTTAAATGCTTAGCTGAGCTCTGGCCTTGTAAGATATTGATCAACAGGGTCCTTCTATCTCTCTCACACCATTTACTCAAGTGCAAGGACCAATATCATCCCTTAAATCATTTGTATTGTCCCTGTGAGGCCTCTTTTAGTGTTTGGATACTGCAGTCTCTCAAAAATAAGTGACAGGGTGGAATTTGATAATCGATTTGTTTTGCTGCAGGAGACAGCAGGATAAAAACAGAGCAGTACAAATGCATTTTATGTGGCAGCCTCCAAAAGAATCACAGCAATATTTTCTGGAAAAAACGAGTAAGAGAAGGATGCCTTAGAATTTCATTAGAAAAAACTACTCTCAATGAGAAAGGAGAAGCTATGGGAAATGAAAATATAAAAATAATACAACTAAGTGAATATTTTTGCAGTTGTGAGAGATCCATGAGAAAAGGTATATTTCAGAATCAGAGGAGGAGGAACAAGATGGTGGAGGAGTAGGTGGATGTAGAATACACCTCTCTCCATGGATACATCAGGAATACATCTTCAGACACAGAAGTGCATGCAGAACAGCTGAGAGCAGACAGGAGTACCTGACCAGCAGAAAAGAATATATAGACCCACACAAAACTTGGTATAACAAAGAAACAGGGGGAAAAATGGAAGAGTTAGTGGGACTGGACCTGCCCTCGGCAGGTGGGGGAACTGAAGCAGGGGTCTGATCCTCACACTGGGGCAACTGTCCGAGTCAGAGGAGAAACACTAAAGGCTGAGAGGGGAACAGTTGATCTGTGGCATCCTACATGGAATGAGAATCAGACAGCCCTTGCTGCAGCCATACATACCCTAGACGGGACAGTGGTTGGGAGCTGGAGTTTAGGGATTGTGGAGCAATCCCAGGGCCAGGGCTGCTGTTGACTGCGGAGAGATGGATAGAGGGGATGTGAAGGAGGAGACTGCGATGGGGAATGTCTGTGGAGGAAATCTCCGCAGCCATGGAAGCAAGGCGGTATTGCTGAGTCACACGTAGGGGGTGGAGCCATCACCATAGCCTCTGTCCCTCCGCATGCCAGCATCAGCAGCTGAACAAGAGAAAGGCTGGACCATCAAATGCCTGATGCACTGAACTACAGAGTAGAACCCCAGGCGGGGGGCCCTCTAGGTGCCTGATGCACCAAATAACAGAGAAGGGCCCCAGGCAAGGAAGCCCTCTAAGTGCCTGAACGGGTGGAGCTACGGAGAAAGACTGGCCAAAGAGGCCTTCTGATCGCCAGCTACAAGAGTCTTGATAAAAGACTTTGATAGGGCCGTGACTCCAGCGGTGGAGGCAGTCCATGTCCCTGCAGACTTGGCACCGCCAGGGCCCCCGCAAGCCAAACAGCTGTGCCATCTTCATGCTCAGCTCTCAATGGGGCAGAGCTGCTACAGGCAAAAAGAGTGTTGCATCTATACGCACAGGGTCACTTCGGTTGTGTCCGACTCATCGGGACCCTGTGGACTGTGGCCTGCCAGGCTTCTCTGTCAGAGAGGGGGCTTCTCCAGGCAAGAATACTGGAGCGTATTGGCCAATGCTGGTTGCCATACCCTTCTAGAGCACTGTATTTCC